AGAAACAACGAAAGAAAAATGTCTGAGGACTTCAGTGTTGAGGAAGAGCATGAGTTCTTTGCCGAGCTGAATGCGCTGGTTTGGTCTGCCGGCTTTAATATTGTTTTGGGTGTACTATTCCTTTAATATTATAAAAAGGGAACTACTCCCTATCCATACAAGTCCTGATCCAATTAAAGCTGTTACTGAAGTAAAATACCTAGGGCTGACAATATAAACAAAACTTAATTAGAAGAGAAGATACAAATATTTCAAATTGTATTTTGGATATGAAAAAAGCCCTTAGTCACTGGTTAACAACAAACTGATCTATCCCTACCACTCCTTGTTTATTTTCTCTAAAAACATGAGTAAAGCAAACACAATATGCCTCCAATTTTTATGGAGGAATAAAACACATTATATCAAAAAATCTCAGTTGGTGAAAGAATATGATAAAGATATTGAATCTAAGGTTGGCACAATCCAAATTAACTGGATAAAATCTTATATTCGGCATCCAAATTCTATGTGGCATCACAGTCCAAGATCCCTGTTTGATAAATTGTGAGGCTAAGACTTTATTCCAAAATGTGATTTTGAGGTAAGCAGGATTCCAATTAAGCTGTTCATGTTCCACTTTGCACAGATTTTGCATTATTGGAAAAAGATTTTCACCCGTAGCTCTTCTCCCCATTGCTCAACCCTATGGGACAATAGAGTAATAACACTAAATTGTAAATCTGTCTTCAAAAAGGGATGGTTTTGCAAAGACATTATTTATTTTGCAGATTTATTGGATGATAGCAGTGATATTTTAAATCATTCAGATATTTTTAATGATGTAAATTGTTCTCTAAAAGAATATAACTATGTAAATTCACTTGATAAAAAAAAATTCTAGGTCATATAATAATTACCAACCAATATTGTCCAGCTGGTTTATTTTACAATGCAATCTGTATAAAAAAAATGCAATAATAAATGTATTAGCAGTTTTTTGAAAGGCAGAAAATTTCTTGATTGTGATGGGTTTACTTGGAAAAGATATATTCCTGTTTGTTCAGATACAGTTGATAAAGTATTCTCAAAATTTGTCAAATGGCCTATTCTACCTAAAGTCAAAGAAACACATTTTAAAGTTTTAAGAAAATGTATCCTGTGGCAGAATTATATAAAAAAAAATGTTTTTGAGGCAGATCAATGTTCCTTTTGTAATAATAAAAGTCTTGAACATCTATTTTACCAGTGTCCTGGTAAAGTTTGTATTTCTTTGAAAATCAATGATGTCCCCCCATTTGCCCTAACTTATGTCATTTTTTTTATAGAACATCTTCCCTTGCCTGTTTCTGATACTAATATATAAATATATAATGTAAATGGTTGATTATTCAGATTATTCAAATTTCAGAGCAGCTCGAAACATGGTGTGATGAGGGTAAGCTCGAAACACTATTTAGGGACACCTCTGTTTTAAAAAGATCAAAGCTGTTTCGAGCACACTGATTTGGGCCTAACATCACTACTGGTTCTTTAGCTTTAATTGTAGCCATTAATGCAAACTGGTCTGATCTGTTCAGCCTCCTTTGCTGCTCCTCCAACATCTGGACCAATCTGTCCTGTTGTTTGTTTGTTGGCGGAAAGGTAAGGGCTAACATGGCAAGGTAAGCAAAGTCTTTATATAGCACATTGTTACAGCTGCACTGCATGGGTGGAGTTATGGACGTGTTTATCTGGCAGTGGGATAATTTACCAGGTCACAGGTAAGCAGCTACTGTAAGTCATAGTTTTCATCAGCAAGTGTATTATTATTCTGCTCTATTTCTTTAGCTTCCTGCTGAGTCTTTGATCAGCATTACACCTGGGTTGACACTCGCTGCTGTTTTGCCTATACTTGTCTATACAGAGATATTGCATAAGACTTACCTCAACTTTCCCCTGCTGTCGGGAGCATTGATGGTTCTACTATTGGGATACAGTGCAATATTGGACAATATTGTAGTGTATTGGTGTTATTGTTTTACTCATATTGTTTTAGTTTAGTTTTTCTTTTAAGGACTGAGGCTTCTGTGGTGGAAGTGGTGACACCTGGTGGTGCCGTCTGTGTCTTATCTTGTGTTCTCTGATGGGGCACCCCTTTTTTATGTTTGCTGGGTTTTTGAAGTGTTTAGGTGATCCCTTCTCTTCACTGGATGTTGCCTCTCACTATGGATTAAAAATGCATTCAATGTTTTAGCCATTTAATTTCAGGTTATTGTTAATTTAAACCTATTGAAGTTTAATCAATTTTTGTAGAGCTTTTTTGGAATATTGTCTCATTTCCAGCAAGAATTTCTCCAGCAGTCTCGTTATTACTATTTAATTTTCCTGGAGTTATTTCAGGTGGCGTTGTTGGTTTCCTATATTGCACACTTTAACATTCGGGTTTCATAATAAAAAAATAATCCACCCGAGGTTGCCACAATCGGTGTTGCTGGTAGGATATCTGTTGGGAAAAAGAGTTGATTCTTCAGTTTTTGTTTGTTTTCTGTTTTTTATGTTTGTGTAGTGTCGTATTTTGTTTGTTTTGGAAAAAAAATGTGTGTGTGTGTGTGTGTTTGTACAGGCAAAACAGCAACAAGCCCATCTAATCACAAAGGATCCAGGTTGAGGAGGAGGGGATCCAAGATATGTGGTACTTTATTGCCCAATTGAAAGAAGATAATAAACAAATACGACAGGGACAGTCATGCTCTGCCTCAGGTACTTCTACTGGCCCTTCTATTTGAAGCAGATCTCAGAGTGCTCTGCCTGCCCCGGATCCCCCTGTGTCAGAAAGGTTGGTGTTCATGCCTCGGGACAGGAAATGTCCAATGTTCAGGGGAAGATCAGGAATAGGGTAAAGTGGATGGAGACGGAGGAGGCCTGTGTCAGGGATTATCACTTATCACCTGTTGATCATGCTTTTTACTTGAATGATCATCTGGAGGGTGAGGCACGAGAGGAATTTAGATACCGTCCTTTACTGGAGAGGCTACGTTGACCTCAGGCTGACCAGTGGGGGAGGATGTGGCATTCTTCCAGTAATGGAAGGTGTCTATGTTTGCAGGAGGCAGGCGGCAAAGGTGATACAGCAGCAGGAGAAGGAGGAGCAGCCGGGACTGACGCAACAGGTAGAGGAGGTTGATTGAGAAACTGTGTAGCAGCGTTTTTTTGGTTGGCCATGATTGGGGATCTGGTGATTCCCTATGTTCCCAACAGAGCACTTTGTTCTCAATCTGCAGGTTTACTAGTGCTTTCTAAAATTTCTAAAAGCAGGAAGAGTATCAGATCTTTAAGCTGTCAGGCTTTTTCCAGTGGAAGCAACTACTATTTTTAGGCCACGAGGCAAAAATCCAGTCTACTTTAAGGCAAGGCTTAAAACCTTTTTTTGTGTTTTTTTTCACATAGTTTAGAGTTAGAGTGGCTCAAGTTATCCTGAGCTATCTCTATAGTTATGCTGCTATAGGCTTAGACTGCTGGAGGACGTAGGGACCCCTTTTCATCATTCTCTTATTCTCCCAGTCTTAAGTGTTTGTTTGTTCAATCTCTAACTTTATACTCTCTGTTTTTCTCATCACAGTAGCTTCATCTGGTCTGTTCCTGTTTGGCTGTGGCACCATACCGGAGAGAAATATAAGCTGTGCTGCTGCCATCAACACCTTTGTATATAGATGTAGGAGCTCGGCCGGTTTTTCAGTGTAGTCCTGCATGTTCTCTCTTTCATACTTTGACATTGGAGCTGACTTGGAGCTAATCTGCCTTGTTGTGTTTTTCTGGGTTAAGGCCGCCTGTGGAGCTGATTGACAGTTATTTTTTTTTTTCTCTGCTTCTTTCTGTATCTCTGCTTCTGTCTCCTTGAACCCCAGTCGGCCTCGGCAGATGGCAGCTCACACTGAGCCTGGTTCTGGTGGAGGTTTCTTCCTGAGAGAGTTTTCCTCTCCACTCTCGCAACAAGCATGCTTGGTGTGAGGGATTGTTTTCAAGTCAATGAGTTGATGCAATCAGCTGGTTTTCCTTAGATAGAAAACTTTAAACCAATCTGACTATATAATCTGGTTGAATTGTCTCCGTTTTGGTATTCGGTCAAGGATGAAAGACAGCAGAGACAGTTACTCACAGTAAGCAGCACAGCTGATAATTCAATCCAGGATGGTGTCACCAGAGCCACTAACACAGGCAAAAGCAGATAAAGCATAAAGTTATGAGTGGAATTAAGAAATACTTCGGAATATAAAAACAGAGATGGGATGAAGCAGGAGGAAAATTGGTTCCTATGTTCTCCAGCAGCCTTAACATATCGCAGCATAAATATAGAGATAATTAGAAGAAATCTAGTCTTTTTATTGCATTTTTTAGCGGACAATATCTTAAGATGAATTGACTTGTAACTGAAACTGACTTGTTTGTATTTTATTTTTCATAACCAGACAGACTGGTTGGCCTTTGAATATTAAGCTAATTTCAAGCAGCTGATACAGTAGTTGCAACAATAATGCTGGGTGATGCTTTTCTTCTTTACCATTTGCTTAACAGGAAATAAATGAGCAAAGAATTTTATCAATCTGGCCCTTAAACTGCATTTGCTTTGTTTAGCTGTGGTGCTTGCTGGTGGACAAAAAGCAATAAATAAATAACAAATTTAAAAAATTGTTTCAGAAAATATGTTTCCCTCTTTATTTGATAATTTATAGCATATCATTAGTTGTTCATAAATAAAAATAACAGGGGTTTTAAAGATTCATATTTACTGAATAATCCTTGAAACAGTAATGAGGAGATTTAAATGAACATTTAGAGATATTTTTTTTTGATTGCTCAGTGAAAGAATAATGTCTAATATGTAGTAGTTCACTTTTTTTTAGCTTTTCTGAGAATTATTTGCAAGCCTTGATGCCATGATTGGTTAGCGACTTATCCTGTGCTCAAATGTAGAGCAAATACGGTTTGGACAGAAAATAAACAAAATCAAAGTTCATCTGACTGACAATATAAATAGACTCTTTCTCCAACCAGCCTGTGTTAGCTGGGACAAACTGAGCTGCAGCAAGAAAAGGGTAAGTGGTTTAAAGACTATAGAAAACTGTGTTAATGTTTAAAGTATAAGTTGAGATGTGTGTTGCTGTTTTAAAATATCAAAATCAAACTTTTAAAAGGATGGCAATGAAGACAGAAAAACTAAGCACTTTTTGTTTTGTATTTTTATTTGTTCATCTCATAATATGTAATGGGGGGTATTAATTGTGAAGACTGAATTTTAAAGTTTTTTGTTTATATTACATGAGATTTATTCTGTTCTCATTTTAAAGAAAAAAACACTTCAATCAAGATTAGTTCTCTTTGATGTTCTTTGATTTAATCAAAATTGTTCTCTTGAAAAACTTTAAAAACAACAATGGCAAGAGAAAAACAAAAAAAAAAAAAAACTAAAAACAAATACATTTAGAGCCTGTATAACTAGATGAAGGGGCTTACAGATTTCACAATGCTTTTGTGAATCAGTTAATATTGTGTAATCAAAGCAAACATCACTTTTGACCCTTTGTTTCAGTTCATGATGCGTGCACTCGGGGTTCTCCGGGTCGTATTAGCAGCGGTCTGCGTAGGAAGGAGCGATCATCACATCGGACGCGGTGTGGAAGCACGAGACAACGCTGCAGACGACAGTGACAAC